GTTTCCGTAGTTTAGTTGTTGTATATCAGATCCACTTTTTATGGACATTATTCACTTACCAATCGCCTTGTCGCTATTTTATTAGTAGTCACTTGCAGTGGAAACCACAACTCACATTTCTTCCCATTTGAGATTCATCAGCTGGTTGTGTCAAAGAGCGACGGTGTTTCTAATGAAATTTCAATCTAACATCCATCGTTTTAAATGTTAAAAATTGTTACTTACTGGGCTACTGACCCACGATAGTCACCTCTGGTGAAACACATATCGGTGGTTATTTACCGAATCCTCTGAATTTTCTATTGTTGACTTACACTGGAATAGCATGTTGACTCCTAACATGAGCACTTGAGTGATACTCTGAAATCGACTTTGTGTTATCCAAGGCATCATCCAAGCTTCCGTACTACTGAATAATAATAGGCCAACATACACCGAGAATTCAATTCAGATGAAATCAGACAACGGTGAATTTAGAAAAAATGGATTAAAGTTCAGAGATACTGATGTATGATAGCATTACGAAATGAAATCAGTAAATGATATTAAGTTCCGTAGCCTTATTCATTAGAAATACAGGCCAAATCAGTGAAAAGCATTTCTCATAGGATTATTTTACACATATCCTCTTAACGTAAATATTACCGGTTAAAATGTCAATCAAATGAATGGTTTTTGTGAAAATACTGTTCTTCAGTGTATTCCTAAATCTATATATCAAAAAAACAACATTAAAGGAATAGCTAGTAGGAAGCAGTAATTTACTGAACGTATAATAAAACAAACAGTCATATCTCATAAACACATCTATTTTCTTCATACTGTGTATGATTCGATGGATTAAACAGCTTCTCAAACGATCCAAAGCAGTTTGCTTACAAACAGGGTAGAAGTACTTTGGATGCTGCTGCTGTGTTTCATCACAACATTGTATCCTCCTTAGACAAAGGGGCCAAGTATGTCCGTTGTACTTTCCTTGATTACACATCTGCTTTTGACTCTGTACCTAGAGGCCTTTTGTTAAACAAGCTTAGCCTTACACAAACTGAGTCCTGGGCTATCAACTGGCTGCACTCTTACTTCTCCAATAGGATGCAGTACACGGTATATAATGGTGTAGCTTCCTCTCCTTTGCTTACTGAAGCTGGTGTTCCTCAGGGTGCTGTTCTCTCGCCGTTTCTCTTTTCCTTCTTCTTACATGACTTACCTCTCTCAGACGAAATCAACTTCGTCAAATATGCAGATGACCTGACTGTTTCGCTTCCCGTTAAGTCTCAGTCAGACTGCTTCAAATTAAATAGCTTCCTGTCGGACATCAGTCAGTGGTCTAAACTAAATGGCCTCATGCTGAATCCCTCAAAATGCCAGACTATCGACTTCTCCTTTAGGCATAAACGAGATCTACAAACACTAGTAAGCACTCATGAAGCCTGTAGCATTGAGGGGACTATAATTGAAACAAAGTCTAATGCAAAATACCTCGGATTAGTTATATCTTCCGACCTTACCTGGTCATCTCATATCCAAATGATTTCCAAGAAAGTGTTTCGTCTAACCTACTACATTAAGAAACTCAGACTAACTGGAGTCCCTCAACCTCTGCTTTCACAATTTGTCAACTCTCGTATCCTACCTATTCTACTTTACTGCTCCCCGTTAGTCTTTCCTGGGTTACTGAAAAAGGACTATACCATCCTGAGAAGGATGTTGAAGGTAGTTAGTAGGACTAGCGGTGTAAAACTCAGTCAGCTCGTCACTACATTAGTGGATAAGCATCTGAATACATGCGAGAAATGGTCTAAAACCATACTCTCTGACCCCCAACACCCCCTCTATTCCCAACTCTCTCCTTGCATCTCATCAGGTAGAACCAGAAATCAGTACAAAATAATATATGCTCGTACAACCAAGTATAGGAACTCAACGATACCATATTTGGCCCGTGTTCTAAGTGACAGAGACAATGTTAAGCGTGAAACCTATGACTTGCTTTGTTGTTAATAACATAATTTTGGCCCTTGTTATTTCCCCCTTATACTCTCTTATTTGTACTCTATAGTGAACAACCTTCTTAAACATACTTAGCTACTTAAAATTATTATCATTGGCTTACTTTTTTGTACTTTACTCTATTCCTTCTTTTGTATATCTACTGGGTCCGACTATATTATCACTATGATTATTACAAAATTGTCCTGTCATTAACCATCATGTAATTTAAGTTTTGTGGTTGTTCTTTGTTCGGCACTATTTAACTGACAATCTTGTTTGTGAACGCCACTATCACCATCTTAAAAAATTTTGTATTATGCATGATTCCTCACACTACCACTACAAACACCGCATTAGTGCTGACAATAAAAAAACACAACCTGAAATGTTTATTTTATGATTGTTTAGTGTTGTTCAATCAAATTAACTGATCATCTTGGCTATAAACATTCTTAAGAACATCTCATAATTTCTTGTATGATTATAGCTGTTACTGTTCACCACGCATACACATATCATAGCTTCCACTACCCAATACTGAAATATTTTTTCATTATTGGTGTTTATCTTCCTTTCTACTTGGTATTTTTATTTGCATTTTTTTCTTTTGTTTTTTTTTGTTATTTCTGTTTCTTTTTTGTTGTTTTTTTTATATATTTAATTTTTTTGTAATACTCCTTTTAAATGTACGATGAAATTAGATGCAATATTGTAGATATGTGCTGAAAATTCCACACTGTACCACAAGTACTGTTTCTGGAATAAAGCGAAATTGTTATGTTATGTGATGTTATGTAAATACGAAATAACATTTCTCAAACTCCTTCAGAAAATTGAATTTACGAATTTTTAATTATAATAATAACAGCTTTATTCCAAACAGCATTTGTATTACAGGTATGGAATTTTCAGCGTGCATTACAGTATATTGCATCTAATTACCTCATAAAATTTATAAGATTTTAAAATCAAAAAGCAACAACCAGAAAAATAGATAAATAAAAAGAACAGCGTTGCGTTTACATTTCAAACAATGCACCACAGGATATGAAATATAAAGTTGGTGTGTGATAGAAGATGAGAACAACAGTGTAATAGTAACGAGGAAAGGAAAACAAAAACTGATGGGACCATTTGTTAGAGTGCCGCAGTAAGTTGATCGTGTCATACCTAACGGATTTCTCGTCACGCACATAACAGCTGTGCCAGATATGGTATTGTGGAGTTTTTGTACTTGGTAGTCCTAGCATATAGCCGCCTATAGCTGCTTCTAGTTCTACCAGATGAAATGCAAGGAGACAGCTGCATATAGAGAGGATGCTTGGGGTCTGATAATATTGTATTCGCTAGTTTCTTACATTACATTATATGTCTATCCACAATAGTGTTAACCAGTCGGTTTAACGATATCCCACTTGCCCTACTAACGGCTTTTAGTGCCCTTCTCAGCAAAGCAAAGCCATTCTTAAGTAGTCCAGGAAAGATTAATGGGGAGCAGTTAAGAAGGATGAGTAGAATGCAAGAATTTACAAACTGAAAAAGCAAAGACTGCTTTATACCAGACTGCCTAAATTTCCTAATGTAGAACGTTAAGCGAAACATCTTTCTAGTAACTAAAAAGATGTGGGAGTAACAGGAAAGATCGGTGGAAAAACTCAGCCCGAGGTACTTGACATTAGATGTATTCTCAACCTCTATGCCGTCAATGATAGTGGGGCCATGTGAGCTAACTAGTTGTTGTAGGTCACGTTTACGTCTGAAAGTGAAATTGACTACCTAACATTTAGACGGATTGAGCTTAAGACCGTTTGAAGAGGACCACTGACTAATTTCCGAAAGAAAGTTATTTAAATTGGAACAATCTGACTGAGAGTTGACAGGCATAGAAACAGAGAGGTCATCGGCATACTTAACAAAAGTGGTTACATCAGAGACAATAGGTGACATGGCTCAAAATCGTTGTCAACGGCCAGCGTAGATGTATTCAGTCTCTGTAATCTTTCATATTCCTTTCTACCATTACCCATTCTGTTTCACCCTTATACTTGTCAAACTCTATTGATTCTCTTCATTCATCTTCTTGTCTACCTCTGTGTGCTATTTGGAACGTGGCAACTCTAACTGCTGCACTTTGGTGCCAAGTTCTATGTTGAATCCAGACAGACATCAGAATGAGGCAAGTTATGTAACAAAAACGAAAACAGAAAAGGAGAAAGAACAGCACCTTGAGGAAGAACATCAGCTAAAGTAAGTGAGATAGTGGAGGACTTTCCATTGTAGACGATGTACTGCTTCCTATCAGAAAAATAGGAATGTAGCCACTTATTTGTCCAGCTCTCAGCCTGTGTTGCAGCAAGCTTACTTAGGAACAGAGTCAAATGCAGATGTGTAATTAAGGAAGGCACAGCGAACGTATTTAGCTCCTTTATCTAAACTAGAGACTATGCTATGGTGGAGAACGACAGCGGCATCTAAGGTACACCGACTACGTTTATAGGCAAACTGATCGGGGTCATTGAAAGGTTTTAAAGAGGGTTCAAGATTAAGTAAGATAAGTCTTTTCACAACTTTCAAAAAAGGTGAGGTAATAGCAATGGGACCAAACTTAACATTAGGTCCACTTGTTGATTTAGGCACTGGAACAATCTTGATATTTTTCCATGAGTCAGGTATAATACTTTTGGAAAACGATTCGTTGAAAATGTCAGTTAATGGAGAACACAAGATGTCAGCACACTTCTTAAGGATAACAGCAGGAACACCATCAGGACCAAGGGACTGAGTAGTTTTGAGAGATTGGAGACACTTGAGGACATCATTCGTGTTAAAGCATGAGAAGCAGTCATTATTTACACCATTAGAGTTAGGAATCATAACATCTGCAGGGATACATATGAAGGATTTATTAAGCATGTCAACATCTACTGAAATATCGTTCATTATTTGCTTACCACCTGTGATTTCTTTTAACAACTTTCACATATTAGATGGGGATTTACATGGAAGAAACTTCTGGTTATAGAGCGCATTCAATCTTTTTAATCAAGTGTTCATTCTCTTAACAACAGATTTATTTTTCATTTTGAACAACCTTTTTTTTCACGGCGGAGCTTTTTGAGTTGAGAAGAGAAGAAGCGATCGAATTTTAAGAAGATTGTCTCTTTTGGACAACAAACATCAAGACAGAAATTAAGATAATGTGTTATGTTGGTAATTATGTTATCAAGAGCTTGATCAGTAAATAAGTCCCAGTTTGTGTCTTTTAACATGGTCCTTAGATTGTTGTCATGAGAATAACATCTGTGTTGTGTTTTCTTTCCAAGGTCTGAGAAGACCCTTTTGTGCTGCTCTCCATATACTTTGGTCAATATTCTTATGATACAGTGATCAGAATTGAGTAGCGGGACTCTTTTTCGAGCTTCAAATATTCCTGTGCCATTTGTAAACACAAGGTCAAGAGTGTTATCCATTCTAGTCGGGAAGTTGACAATGTTATCGTGTCCAAGTGAAATTAGGAAGCTGTTTATGGCTTTTATATATCTTAAGATGTGCTGTCAAGTCCAGTCAGTAATAGTGTAACACCAGAAGGCAAGACAAGGAGGTCAAGGTATATTTCCAAGTAATGAAAGGGCCGTTTATATGGATACAGTTTTATATTCTCTAACCAATCACAGTGAGCGTGTGATTTCGGTTTACATTAAACGAAATGAAAGAGAATGTTCAAATATACACATAGTATTCTGTTATTAACTCAGTATAAAACTGTGGGATTATGTGAGAATTATATTTCATTGGAACACATTGTCTGTAGCACACCACCGAGATAGTATGTCTTAAAACAATCTATCTAACAAATATTGCCAGCTTAATTTCTTCGACTTGGCCACCACGTAGAATAAAGTACAATATCTCCCGTCTTCCTGATTGACTACATTTAACTTTGTTAAAGTAAATTAAAATCCCTTCAAGTCTAAATTTTAGACAGAATTATTAACCAATATGAAAGCACTGAAATAAAATGTGTGCATATTATCCCGAATACAATATAGTTTTTTTTCTATTCTCACGTTCATGATCAAAAATAATTTCGTACGACACCCGTGTAATGACAGAAGGCTAGAGTTAGGCAACAGATCGTTTATTAAGGAAATCAACACGTATTTATATATTTTCATGTACATTATAATAGCTTATTCAAGCAAACAAACACAGTCTTCTGATTGGTTGTTTCTCACAGAAAGTTGACTTTGCGTCTCTTTGTGACTCTTTCTTGAATGTCAGATCATCTATATGTTAAATGTATCTGCCTACGCAAATGCTGCTGTGATTGGTTGTTGAATCAGTTTTTGTTCATAATTTCCTACGATCAATATTGAGGACATAAACAGTGACATAAAATACTGTCTTCCAATTTGGCTAGTAGACAGCTCTCACCAAACCAGTACTTACAAGTTCAGATTTACAATGCTTACAATTCAGTGGTTACCTTGAGTGCTTGAATTATACTCAGAAACACAAAAAAGTCAGCTTATTCAATAAATATAACTTATTCGGTTTTAATTGTAACATTTGATCATCAAATACCCACCAGAAGTGAGAAAACAGCATTATCCTTAAAACAATAATAACACACTTCTGTAATATTACTCAATCTATTACTATTGAGTTTCTCCATGCTGGTAATAGGAGCCACTATGCAACTAACGATGAAGCCCACCTACTATAAGTAGTTACGATAGAGTGTGGGAAATGTATGAATGTATGAAGTGATTAAAAGTATCTCAGCTTATCCGAGAGAAACGAAATTATTACTGAATACGTTATCTTCAGCACTGAACATCAAAATACTCAAAAGTAATAGTTTTTCCTTTATTTTTTTTATTTTATTTTTTTGATTACAGCTTGATTCCACACTGTATTTTTGGTACAAGTATGGAATTTTCAGCGTAGATATCGGTAGCCCAAATTTCGCAGGCCGACCATAGATATCAGGTGTGCGTCGGCGTGGGCTCGAACTCCGGACCATGTGCATGGTCGGCGAGAGTTCTAACCACTGTGCCACCGACGCACAATTTGAGACAAGGCGGACCTTCCATGGAGAGAAAAGGGGAAATTAATGGGAAATTGCACAGGTTTTCCCCCTTTCTCCATACTCAACACAATATCCCCTTTTCTGTCACATAATTCTCCCCGTTTTGACGCATAATTTTCCCCTAATTAGTTTTATTTCCCTATATTAGTCCCATAATTCCCCCTTGATTCTCTCTACGTCAACCAACTAGAAACTCGCCATTTAAATACAGGTTCGTCATGGAAAAGATATATATATATATATAGGAAAAAAATTAATAACGATTCTGCAAATTAATCCTTTAGGATTAGTGAACACTTAGAATTACAAATAATACACACAAGTAGAATGATTGTCGTTTAACATAAAGTGTGAGTTCCGCATTACACCTGCAGGTGGGCATGCCTGCCATCATCAAAGCAGATCCATTGAACTATCCTGAGAAGGAAACAAATTATTAGTGAGCAAGGTAGTAAATCAACGGTCACACTTATACAGAGACTTGACTTAATAATAATGATATAATAAACGTGGTTATTCAGCTGTAAGAAGTTACCTAAGTATTGAGTAGAAATTCCACATGTGGTGAAGCGACGTGACAGCTTAGGTTCCCGAGTGTAATTAAGCATTCGTCCCAATGAAGATTACGGACTCAACGATAAATTGCTAACCATTTTCTTCATCTAAACGTAATCGAAGGTTAATTGTAAACTTTCGAATGAATCTCGACGTCCACAGGAAGAACAGCAGGTACATGTATACATACATACATACTCATATGTGTATGCGTGTGGGTCTGTTTTGATAAGTGTATTAAGGAAAACACTTCAGTTGTCAGGTTACTTCTACTGCCATTCTTACTTTTAAGTGTTGGTGCTTCCTTCTGTGTTCTGCTTGTCAAATTTTGTGAAAAGATTCAACAGGAAACTGTTAATGCAATTACATTAAGAAAAACTCATCAATTGAAGTACTAGAAACATAATTTCGACAGAAAAATTGAACTATTTACAATTTATCAGTAACCTCCTGCGTACAGTAAAATTTTCCATGGTTCCCCGTCATTGTGCTATTTAATCGGTTTTTCCTCCTTCGAAAGAAAATAGCCCCTTTTCTTCCACACATTTATCCGATTGGGGGGGGGGGGGGTCACAAGAAACATGTGTATTACCAAATAAGTAACCTCGCCTAGTTCACTAGATCACTAGTTTCCTAGACGATCCCAAGCCATAGAGATGGAGGGTTGGGCGTGGAGCTAGCGACCTTAACCTAGAAAATAAGTCAAAAAACTTCAACGCACATTGAAAATATTAGAAACGCAAAAAAATATTTAAAACAAGCTTATTCTTCCCTTCAATCAGAAAGGCTAAATGACGAGGTGGGCTGTTGAAAGCCTTCAGAAGGCCAGTCGGCCAGCCGATGAAAGCGAGAATAAGAATGGGGACGTGGAATATCCGTATAATGTAACAAAGCTGGCTGAGAAGGCTGTCCAGGTAGCCAAAGAAATGAGAAGATATGCCATGGAAGTGCTGGATATCTATGAGGCAGATGGAATGGATGTGGGCTGTCGAAATTGTTAAATGTAGAGTTAGTAATCTACCCTGATCACCCAGATGACAACCACAAGCCAACTGAGGTGGTGGGTAGCAACCATTATTTCACTAACAGCAGCCAGAGCTTTTATGCAGAGGGAACCAGTCCTGCTGGATAAAAACGACAAAATTCAATTCAAAAGGAAGTAAAGTTAAAATTATCCAAAGCTACGCTCCTACAAACAACGCAGATCAAGAGAAGGGAAATTTCTATGTACAACTGTAAACAGTAATGGACAACATCCCAAACGGAGACATCAAAATCCTCATGGGCAGTATGAAAACTAAACTGGAAGGAGACAATACACGAAGAGAATTCATCATGGGTTGAGAAACTCTCAGAGGAATTAATGGGAACGGAGAACTCCTCGCAGACTTCTGAGACTCCAATGATTCGGAAACCGGAGGTGGTGTGTACAAACACAAGGATATACGATTTGATAGTGTGAAATATTCCCATATTATGAATTAAAAGTCAATCTGAACGAAGAATATTCTTTTCAATAATTTCTCTTCAGGTTCTTACAATTATATATATATATATATATATATATATATATATATATATATGCATGTGTCTATGTTTAATGTTCACCTAGTCATGACAACCAAACTATGATACATATACTATAAAAAATTATTTCTGTTTTAGATCCTGAGACACCTAGACCTGGGTTATGCAATCAAACTGATGATAATCTTGACTATGGCAAAGAAGTAAGAAAAGAAGACATGAATAATAATAATGCAAAGAATGAAAGTCACTCACAAGTGTGTCAAGACAACGCTTATCCTATCATATATATATATATATTATAAAGGCCAGTTACGCGGTGGATACATTTTTAACGTAGATTAACAGATTAGTTAAGGGGTGTCAAAATAAATAGTCACATTTGTGTGACAAACGTGCTAGGCTCAAATCGATTAGAAAATATCGTAAAACAGGAGACAATGATGGTGATTAATTATAATAGAATTGTAGAGTGTGGGGTAGGAAAATTGACAAATCAGTTCAAGGTTATAAAAGGTGTCAGGTGAGTGGCTAGCAAAAAGTGGTCTGAGTTAAACAGGAGATAGTAAGACTACAATGAGAGGTTCATAATGAGATAAGGAATATGTTAAATGAAACAGGTAGAGGCATATATTGAGAAAACAGATAATATCACTAATAGTAAGTCCGTATAAATGAAAAATTAGATAGTATTGAGGGAATGTTTGCATAAAGGGCATAAATTACGACGAATAATAAAAACTGTATTAATAATATTTACAAAAATAAGCAAAGTAACAAAAAAAGAAAGAAAGCCAAGAGGGTTAAGGGGAAGGAGCACTCTTGGTGAGAAGAAAAATCTTCAATCCAAAGTTGGCCACGGTAGAACGTGTTCTTTTTGGATACAAAGTTCCGGTTTAGTCGATCTTATTGTATAGCTTCAGCTATGTGTAGCAGACGTAAGCGAACTGCACGTGATAAGGACTTCGGAATTCGGTAAATGACCATGAAAGCTGTGTTGACATCGATGCGATGTCTAGTATCGATCAAGTGTGACAGGATCGAGCTTCTTATGCACTTAATTTCCCCCCTGCAGAACCAAGCTGGTAAGTGTTCTCGAACCCGTAGACGAACCTGTCTAATTGTGCGCCCTATATAACTTGAACCACAGGAACAGTTGAAATGGTATATGCATGAAGAAGAGTTTATGTTAGGTAAGACATCTTTGAGTTGCTGGGTGAACATTGGGCGGCTACTGAAGGATAGACACAGACGTGCAGAGTAGAAAGTTTTCTTTATCGCCCTGGTTAAACGTTGGGATAGAATCTCCGCAGGAGTATCTCCCTTGAATTGGAGACGTAAAAACAAAGGCTTTTTCTCCACAGTTGCCAGTTCATGTTTACGACTATTGTAACCTATGTTTGTCACACAAATATGACTATTTATTTTGACAAGGATATACACAAGGTAACGTGGATTTCCCCTGACGGACACACTAAAAACCAGATAGATTTCATCACAAGGCTGCTCAAGGAAGTGGAGACACAACCAGCCTGCTGAACACAAAATTGAGAAGGGGAGCAGAGGTGGGCTCAGACCATCACCAAGTACCAGGAACATTCAAGGTGAA